GGACAACGGTAACAAGACTTTCCCTGCTCATGCCTGCTCTGCTGCCTGTCGTCCTGCCTGCCGGAGCGCACTCAGCTGCGAGGACAAGTAGGGGGGAAGGGGAGGGCGGGGCGGGCGGCTGTGCTCTCTTCAGCATCAGCAGTGCGAGGTTTACATTGCGATGCGAATTGTTGGCCGAGAGGGGGAATAATTACGACGAGGTGGGGGGAGGGGGGGAGAGAAACACGCGCAAACGTTATTGGCAGCGGCAGGTATTTGTTTTGCAGCCCCGGGACAACACGGTGCGAGTAAAGCGCGGTGCGTACTGTGGCACTGCGAATAGCACAATGATGTTTGTAAGCCATATGCGAGCCTGTTGTTTTTGTGATGCGAGGAAAACTGTTCGACCGCGCTCTAATTGGACTCGCGTCCATAAATGGGTGTTTCAGAGGGTTGGCACCGCGCGTAAGCCACGACACAAACCAGTGTTGCGGGCTTGCCTATGTACCCTGCACTGTACTTTGAGAGTGTCTCAAATGTACACGCCAAAAGGCGTAAGGTGCAGGATCCAGAGCGACATTTGGCGTATACTTTTGAGACATCTTTTATGACGTATAGCTTATTGGAGACAGTTTTGCCCATACTACTGTCAAAGCACAGCCCCAGCTTTGAGCATGCAGGTGGTGTGAGGGTGTACAGGACGTGGGCGCCTTTCAGAGTGTATGTATCATAGAATCTCTGATGTGATGTGGGAATGGTATGGGAAAAGACGTCTGGAATATATACGCGAAGAGATGTCTCAAAAGTATACGCCAAGTGTCTCTCTGGATCCTGTATCGATCCTGTAGCATACGCCTTTTGTGCGTAGACATTTGAGACACCTCAAATTACAGAGTAGGGACAAACATTGGCAGGTTATTTCTTTTACCAGTTTTGTACAAAGGATCTCAGACTGAGGACGATATCCGCGTCTCTCTGTCTCTTACGATACTTTGAATTGACAAAATAAACAGACTTTCTTAGATATTTTCTTCAGTTTCCATAAATAAATGTTTAGTGTTGCCCACACGGTATGAACGAAAACGAAAACAGATATTCGAAGCTACGCGGAATACGGACAAAAACCTTCGTAATACGTATTATGACAGTACGGAAATTCGTGATGGCCACCTTTTTAGCAGATGGTACATTTTAAACATTTTATATATATACTGAACTTCATATGCTTTCAATTGAAACCAAAGTAGTGGCTTTCAATAACAAAATCAGCATTCTGACAGAAATGCCGTGAAGGCTAGTTAGAGCATTCAGCACGGCAATGCAGTGTGTCGCCGCCGCTCACCTCTCTCCGGCTAGACCCTCCGCGCGTGCGCGCCGCGCGCTGCTTCCCCGGCGGCGGGCCGCGGCCGGCCGGCCCGCGCATGCGCCCCGCCCGCGCGCCACTAATTCTAATTCTGTCACACTCTTCGCCCCCCCTCTCTCCCCCTTCGTTTCCACACTCCCGCTCCGCCAATTGGTACGACCTACCAATTCGGGCG